ACCCGTACCCATGTACCCATGTACCCCGTGCCCGTGTTAACGGTATTTCGAACCTAGAGACCTATCTTCGCATTCCACAATCTCCGCTAGAATTCATAAGCCGAGCGCATTTACTTCCCTATCATTGAATACCATCGTGTCAGGACCACCATTTCAGTTTTCTCAATCTATACATGTAAATCTATACGTGTAGATGGGTATGAATGTAGTATTTGTATATTTGTATAATATCATAGATCTTTTATTTTACGAAAAGAGAAAGAGAGAGAGAGAGAGAGAAAGAAAGACCTTCGCAATTTTATTCAATCCAAAGTATACTTTCTTCGATTCAAGGATTAGTATGTTTCCTTATCACCCTTTCAAACAAAAATAATCAACCAGTAAGAATATTTCAGTCGTTATTTCTTAATTTTTTGTCTTTTTCATTTTTGTTTTACGTTAGTGTCTTTGTTTCTCTTTCACAAATTGCACGATACTCGACTCCTCTTTCTATTTAACAGGCAAACGCCTATGTATAGAATACACTCGCGAGATTATTTTACTTTCTATACTTTAAATATTTTTTTTTATTATTATTTACATTATTATATTATTTTACATCTTTTCTGATACTTTATTTTAATATTCCAAGGTAGAAGAACCAGACAATCGACGTAATTTCATTCCATTTAACTTCTCATTCTATTTTATTTTGATTATTTAACTAAATATTCCTAGATTCTAAATATTATCCGGCTGTTTCTTTTTATCTGTAATACTACTCGTAAATATTTCATTTAATGTGAACATCATTGTGTAGGAAGAAAAATTTTTAACGAGAAGAAAACGATTTTAAACCAATCTTTATTTTCTTAAACGTGAGTAGAAACAAACTAAACCTACAAAATACTTTATATATAAAATTCTAATTGTTTATTCGTTATTTTTGCTAAAAAATTTATCGCAAATCAAAACTAGTTGCAAATCAATGAGTATACTTTCTTGCCTCTGAAAAGAAAATACCTTTTGTACAATATATTTGAAATAAAATAAATCCTAATTGTCAATTGTTGTTGTTGTTGTTAAATTTTATCTATAAGAGCAAACAGAGATAAGGGCAAATATTCATAGTAAAATTCTCAGGATAGTTGGTAAAAAGAAAAAAATTACGGAAAGGACTATGCTAAGAGATGCTGCATACCAACTGTGCTGGACACCACCCCCGCAAAAGGGGGAGTTGCATTTTTGCGTGTTAACGCCCGGGAGATTTACCGACCGGCTGCCACAAACATCCTAAGGTTATTGTGGAGTTCGAGGCTGCTTTCAAGCAGCCGAGGAGGCTTCTTTAAACTATCCGTCCAACTCGTCGGATACACTCGCGAATGGTTCACGCGTGAATCATACTAACTTCAACAGACTCGATATACCTTATCGCCAATCCTTTTCTTTTTTCCGTCTTTTATTCTTATCAAATTCGTCAATGTATTTCGTCTGACCAAATCGTTAATTATTCTAATTCGTATTCAAATGATTCATGAATTATTCACTTTTTCAATGATTCAACGTAAATTTTACACGACCTTGAACTATGGAATTTCTAATTTCTCATTCAAAGCTACCGGAGTTTGATTTATATCGTTGATCGATAGATGAACGTTTTGCGTAGCCTTGAATCGTAGAAATCCTTCGAGATATTAGGAGAACATATAATTCATTTATTTTAATTCATTGAACATTAATTCGTTGAATATGAACGTCTACTTAATTAAGTTATTATCTTAATAACGAATCGTCTGTTGTGATTTAACCTTCGGTATTCACGTTTTGGTTTCTTTTTTTTGTATCTTTTAATTAATAAGAAATCGGGAGAGTAAATTACGCGGTAGATCGTCCAATTAACGCGGAAAACAGTTCTTTTGATGAACTAATTAAAACTGGCTCGTGTCCAATGTAAATTAAATTGGAAAATATCGGCTAAGAAGGTGTCACACTTGGTGTACACAACTATAGTGTCATTATTGGTTTTCTTTTTTTATTTTCATGTATTTACGTGTGTATTTATGTACATATGCGTTTAATGTGTATCTTAATTTAACCGAACGTGGTTTGAATTCTTCTTAATGAAGACATCGTGATACAGCGAGAATGAATCGATTATATTATTTCTCTCTCTCTCTCTCTCTCTTTCTCTTTTTCCCCTTTTTCTTTCTTCTCTTTTCATTCATGTCTCTGACGTACGATATTTTCATTGGTTCTTCGAGAATCGTTTAATAATTTTTTTTATTCATATTTTTTCTCGACGTTGATCGATGATTAAAAAAAAAAGAAAATTTCAAAATATTTTGCAAAATATTGTCGCGTTCTTTTTATTAAATATTGTTTATTGTATGTGTGTGTATGTTTTTTTTCTTAAATTGATCGTTCGATCGTCCCTTTGAGAATAACATTTTTAGAACGATTCGCCCACGCAGTGTACGTTGGGAATGCAAAGTTATATCATACGTGTTCCAAAACCTTCATACGATTGTAATCTTTCGTGCCAAGGATACGCATCGATATAGTACTAAATAAATACATTTCTCCCTCCCCTCACCTCCCTGAAATAAATAAGACCAATAATAATAGATAATTATAAATAAATAATAAATTAACAAATAATTACATTTATAAAGAAAATTTTGAAAGAATATGACAATTATAAATTATGATAGTGTATTATCATTCATTCTATGACGAAACGAGAAATGAAACGAAATTTTTGTATCTAACCAGTTGAAACAATTCGCCATGATTCACAAATAATTCCATAAATATTTTTACAGAATAATTTTCTTAATTGACCAACTTAGGTAGCAAGAAACGCTGTTAGTTCTAATTTGTTTCGTAAACGATCTAATAATAATAGGAGGTAGCCTAATTTAAAATTAATGTGCTTAGGAAATGGTCTTTGTTAAATATCATCTTTCTAATTTTTTTTTTCTTATCCATGCTAAGAAACCCCATGGAATGATAAATGTATGTATGTATTCGCGAGGGTGTGTGCATGTGTGTGTCTTCACTCTTGCTAATTACGTTCATGAAAGACATGGAAAACAAGCGTAAGCGAGAAATTAACGTCGGACGTGCGTGACTTTCAACATGTGTACACATTTGTCTCTCTGGGCCCGCATGCGATCGTCTACACCTCGTTGATCTCTTTGTAAGATAGTATTATAATTTATCTTCAATTATTTTTAGCTAAACCATGAATGTATGCATTTATTTTTTCTTTATTTTTATTTATATTTATTTTTGTGTGTCTGTTGTGAATTTTTGATAATTCTATAATTTTATTCATGCTATATTCGATTTGTATGTTTCTTAATTGACAAATTATTTAAACAATTATTTTTACGCGTTACTAAACAACAAAATGTAAATACATTGTAATGTAAAAATAAACCAATACTAAATATTTCTAAAAACAAAAATACTTATTATCTAACGATTCATTTTGAACAATATCGTGAAAATTACATTGAATTTATTTAGTTGAAAATAATGTGCTGTGTGAAATAACTGATAAACTCATTTTGTTTGACGGAAGTAAAGAAAAAATAAAATAAATGTAAAAAAAGGGATTTTTAAAGTAGCTCGAGTTTGATCCTTCCTGAATTGAAGATAATTTCATTTGTAACGCGATTTATCCCCCGCGGATCGCTTTCCCGTGATAATTCCACGGTTGCATAAGTTAAAGACGCCAAAGTGTAATTCTCCGATGTGAAGCGACGTAAGGTTTAACGTTCCTCGCTTGCATAACGAAAGTAGCGCGAGCTCGTCGACTACACATAATCTTTCTTTCTCTTTCTACCTTTAAATGTATTCGTCAGTTTGTTAGATGTATACGTGAAGTTCTATTGAAGTTCTATGAAACAACATAGAGAATAAGAGATAACGTAGATATCCTTGACTCGAACACGCTTGTTACATTCTAAATATGGAAAATATTGTTAGCCAAATGATCGTTATAGATCAATGATCGAACGAACGAGCGAACGAACGAACGAACGAACAATCGTACGGGTTACTTAACAACAGAAAAAAGAAACAACAACAAAAAAGATAGCAAAACTTTAATTGAGACGTATAGAGAATAAACGTTGTGTGTGCGTGTGTGTCTTGTGTGTCAATGTGTATGTAATAATATTTAAAATAAAATATATTTTTTTATTGTGTATAAAATATATTAATTAATTATCAATTAATAATAATCATCGTAATAAAATATATATATGTTTATTTTTAAATGACATAGATAAAACAAGAATCCGTCATTAAAATAGTTTTATTTTAAGTTCATTTAAGTCACGTAAAAAAGGAATCAATTATTCGAACGTTAAAATCGGTGTCAACTTAAATAAAATCCTTATAAATTTAAATTCTGTCTATCCTTTTCTCTCTCTCACTCTTTCTCTTTTTCTCTCTTTCTGTCTGTCTGTCTTTCTTGTTACAAATACGGTACCGCAAATGTTTACAATGGAGAACGAACTGTCGCTCGCGCCCTTGTCCGGATTAGAAAGTAAACCGTATCTAGAATTTCCACGGGTTAGGTCGCGACCACACGTTTCAAAATACCGTTGAAATTCGTCTCCATCTGTAAAACATTTTTGCTCAAATTCAAACGTGTCGAAAAAAAAAAAACAGAAAAAAAGAAGGGAGAGAGAGAACGAACAAAATAAAAATATGGAGTTGTTCGGAAAGTTTGTGCCGATTTTCAATAGGTGGCATAAAGTTTTTTGCCTGAAAAATCTGATAAGTTCTGGAAGGATGAAATTTTGGAAGTTATCCATTAAAGATGGAGAAAATTTGTGGAACAGAATAGTACAAAAAACTTAAATATGTTGCATTTCAATCTTCTATCAAAATCAGCACGAACTTTCCTGACAATTCAATAAAAATAAAGTGAGAAATGACATGACGAAAACAAACTTAAGAAAATAAAACAAAAAAATATGTAAAAATAAATCAAATGTTGAACTTACCAGTAGGAAAAGTACAGTGCCGCTGAGAGTAGCTTCGAATGATATTCCGTACGCCATTTCTCGTTATCCTGGAGGAGGAAAGGTCCTGCCTCTACCAGAACATCGTCATCGTCATCCTCGTATAACTCCAATCGATCGATATTTTATTTTCAAAAAAAAAAAAACAAATATCAATGATATTTAACTTCTCTTCTTCTTATCGTGTTTCTCTAATCTTAACTATTATTCACTTTTTATTTTCCACCACAAAAAAAAACTTAAAAACCGATTTTGTATACATATATATATATCCTCTCAAATATTCGTTTTTTCTCTTAATATCAATCTTTTCGAATATAAAAATCGGTATAATTCTATCTCTATCTCTATCAATTTATCTTATTATCCCTTTATCCCTTTCTTATTTACCGGATAAAGTAGAATTCACGAGAGATTGATTAAAAAGAAGAAGAAAAGAAAAAAAAATGTATAGATACATATATAAGAGTTAGAGTTGCGAGTTTGTATGGGAGAAGGGGTTGAAAAGGTCGCCGATCGCCTGAGGATAAACAAGGATAGAGATAGAGATATCGTTTGGCGAAGTTAGAAAAGGAGGACTAGAGAGAGAGACAGGATTAGTATCTTTTTTTTCTTTTTTTCTTTTTTTCTTTTTTTTAACGAAGACGTTCGCGATAATACTTTTGATATTTTTTTTCTTTGTGTGTATCACCCTCTCTCTCTCTCTCTCTCTCTTTCTCGTTCTCTTTTAAAGGTTCTCTGGTTAGGTTCGAAAATATGACGAGATGATAGTTCGTCCCGGTCCTAACCGTAGCACAGGGCTCGAGCAACTGACAGCGGGTAAGAGTCGCTGTATCAGGCGCCACGCCGTTCTCACAGCTGATTCGTTCCCTCCCCCCACCACCCTTCTTCCTACTTCTTAGAGATTCCTCCCCCTCTACCTTTCCCTCACTCTCTTTCTCTTTCTAACTTTGCTACTAAGAGAACCTAAGTATATATATATATATGTGTGTATTTTACTTGAATTTGTAAATGTTGTGTCAACGTGTCAAGTGCAATTTTTAATTCCAACCCTCCCCCTCACTTTCGAATTTCATCTGATTCATCTGATTCATCTTTTTCGTCTTTTTGACGTCACATTTTCTTTTCTTATAGATTCTTCTTATATTGAAAGGAAAAATTGTAAAATTGTACAATAAAAAGAATATCGATCACGTGTTACGTATTTTTTTGTAGGGTTCAAGAAAATAGTAATTAATAATGAAATTTAAAATATTCAATAAGGAATATATGACGAAAAAATGGGAAATAATATTTAATGACAATTTTAATTGCAATATATTAAAATATATATTTTGGTGAAAAATCAGTGTCCGGCATATAAAAAAGGTTTAACATTTGATTTTAAATCATTTGAATAATTTATCGATAATTTATTGCAATTATTAATGATCTTTATAGTTTAATGAAAGAATAAAAAATGACTTCTCGAGTTGATTAACAATCTCGTACGTGTGACGTTGACAAATTGAATTCAAGCATCTAATATTATTTATCTTCGGTTATGGTAATTTTGTTGGTCGGATAAAGGAAAATTCATTCGTGAGATAGTTGATTTTGCGTTTACAGTATATCGTGTTTTCTGCCTACCCGGATTTCGATGTGAAACAGAGAAAGAGAGTAAATAAGAAACAGAAAGAGAAAGAGAAAGATGGTGTGTGTGTGTTTTTACGAGCTTGCAAAAAGGCCGCTGTATCAAAGCACGTTAATTAAGCGCATAGCGGCTCGTTACGGGCAAACGAAGGTCACGATGAATACGCGACGATGCCCTATAAAACCTCCACACTATTTCTGAGAATACTCCGGGCACGTGCCCTTAAACTTCTTTTAAAGGGACATTACTACCATTCCTTTTATTCTTCCATATATTTTTTTGGGTCTTTTTTCTCTTTTTTTTTTTTTTTTATTCTATACTTTAATCAGGAATTCCTTTAAAACGCATGAGTTTCACCGATTACATGAGAGTTACCCTTAGAATTCTACGAATACGTATTTTTATTTTTATGGTAATTCCTTTTCGATCATCCTACGTAACGAACTCTTAGTCACTTTTAAGTCATTTCATTTCACAATTTAAACATTCAAATTATAAGTTTCACAGAAGTTCGCTATATATTAAAAATTCCAAATGTGTAAGATTTTTCTTTTAAATATCGTCAATTATTATGAATTTCTAGTTATTATAAAAAAAGTCTATTCATACGATGAATCATTTCTAAAAATTTGTATTATGAAAGATGTCCTTTATTTATATTACGTCATTTTAAATTAATTCACAAATACGTTTCTGATCGAGTCAAGGGCGGTGGATGATAATATTTAAGTGAAATTACCCCACACATACACACCCTGATTAACAGCGGGACAAAAATATAGCGAACACAAAAATTACAACGATTATCTCAGTATGCACGTGTGCATGCATGAAAATACAATCAAATGAAAATATTCTTTGAATCATTGAACAACAATATCCATAAATTGCCATTAACCCTCATATCATATTTTACGTTTCCCACCCATACTTTTTCAATTGTACTTAAAGTCTATCCCGATGACCAATTTTAATAGCATGGAATTTCCAATCATGCTGTTTAAAAGTAATCAACACCCATCGTCGTATCGTTCTTTAATACTTAAAAGGATTAATCGGATCTGATTCTTTTCTCAAATTAAAGATCCTATGTACGAAACGAAACTATAATATAAATGTAATGACTAAGAAGAAAATCGCAATCGGTGAATAACAACAAAAGCGATTTAAACAAAATCCTTGTGCAACTCAGCGGGGATGAATAACCGACCTTGCCGATCTCACGTTCGCACGCACACGACCTTCATCGACTATGTCGAAGAATGCAAGGATCCACTTTTTCTTTCCCCTCTTACCCCACCACCAGCACCACCCCCTCACGAGATATCTCAAGCCTCTCCCTTTCACGAAATTGACAACAACAGAGTATACGAGATAAAGAGATCAATTTATATAAAAATATATTTCAATGTAATGTATACATTCATTTAGTTAAACTGTCTTTGTATAGAAAAATTCAGTATCACATTGTTGGTTTCCAATGAACTTTCAAATTACTGAATCAATTTTAATGAATTTTCGTTCTATTTTGTACGATAATTTTTATCGTAATAATTTTCAAAAATTATGTTTATTTAATTTATATCTTGTAATAAAATGAATATTAATGAAAGAAAGTAGATAAAATAAATAATCGCATTGAATTGAACAAGTTAAAAAGTGTAGCCTAAGTTATGCGTACTTAACAAATTATTTTTCAAAGAGATTAAAATTTACGTAATTGTTACGAGGTATATATCGATATATTATTATTATGATTCAACGATTTGCAATGACTATCGTATCTTGTGAGAATCGTACGAGTAATCGAATTCTTTCTCTTGATAATTTATTTATTTCATCCTTATGACTATGTTTTAAGGATAACAAGTATTACAATGTAAGAAATCGTCGAAAATGGATTCAAGGTATACGATAATATTCTTTTTTTTTATTTGCCAATTATTCCTGTTAAAGGAAAAAAAGGAAAAAAATATAAAATATAAAAATGATAATAATCTTTACAAGTTACGGAAGAATCGTAAGCGTAACGTTATCTCACGAATTTGTAATAATGTGCGAATGGGGATTATTAAAATCTTATGCGAAGTCGTAAACGTCTTGTAACTTGAACCTATATCTGTCTCTTTCTTTCTGTTTCTCTTTTAGTTTCTGTTTTCTCTGTGTACATGTATTTACTTGTGTATATGTAATAAATAAGCTTATACCGTTCCTCTAGTATCTACAATCTTATCGAACTAGGTATTGTATTCGAAATAGTTCTTACTATGTTGTTTATCTATTTGTAAGATATAGAACGACTATCTGCTACTATCGTGACATATTCTATGATACTAACTTTATTTTATCGTACTATTTCATCTCTCTCTCTCTCTCTCTCTCTCTCTCTCTATTTAAGAAATATATATTTAGAGTTATATTTGTCATAATATAAAATACATTTATGTGTGTGAAGAAAAACTATTTATATAAAATTAGTTTGTAAAAAAATATCCATGATCGTAAAAATCGTTAGAAATTTTTTATCCTAAAAATAATCAACAATTTAAATTAAATTGTAATATTCTAAACACAAAATTTTGATATATTGTTTAATGTGCGAATAATTATTATGGATTATGTTGTTTTTTAAATTCACCACTTTCGAATTGTTTTATCTTACTCGCACACGCACACACAAAGAAACAAACATACAAATAAATGGTCGCTAAATTTTTCCCTTCGACTGCATTACTCGAAGGTTTCTTTAGTTTCTTCTGCGTTGTAGGAGTATTTTTCGAATTCTCAAGACTTTTGTATGGATGAGTTAACATATATCGAAGGTCAACTATGTCCTAAGCATTATCTCGTTGCATTGTTCGATACTTTTACAGCAGTAAACATATTTGAAACTTTTCAAATTCAATTTGGTGACCACAAAAAAAAAAGAATTTATTTTATACCATCGATAAACTCAATTTTACAAATAAATAAATAATAATAATTATTATCGTACTTTTTGTTCGTTATATTTGTCACTGACGAGATAAATAAAATCTCATACTTGAAAGGGAAAGAAAGTAAGAGAATAAATAAATAGAACGATTTGTTTGGCTTGTAAAAAAATATCTATCGAAATAAATTAATCCGGAAAGGTGCTACCGGTCATTACGATCGAATGAAAAGATATCCAAAATTCCTCTGAAGTTTCTTCATTCTTTCTTGATCTTCCTCTTTTCAACTTTTAATTATCTCTACCTGAGATAATACCAATCGTAAGACTAAACTTCCGTCGTAGTGTATCCTCCTGGCGTTATCTTAACTATGCGAAATTTTAATGATCTTGTCTTCTAAACTCGTTTGCTCAAATATCATGGCATAGAAAAAAAAATGTGAATTATGGAACGATCGTTGTTGTAGTTCGAAGCGTGAAAATAAAGAATTGTAGTCGAATATAATTTACATTTTTATAGAAAGAAACATTCCTACAAAATACCTAACATCTAACATAAGTATGAAAATAAAGAATTGCATTGGCATTTCATTTACATTTTTTTTACCACGAAACATTTAACAAGTGCTACAAAAACGAGAAAAAATTATTTAAATTTTTGTTCACAGAAAAAAAAAACATCCAACAAGTGCGAAAACTAAACAAAAAATTGCATT